TTGCTTTTACCTTATATTTGGTGCGAGAGAAATGGAAGAAAGAATGGTAAGAGAGATAAAAATTTTAATAAGCTCAATTTAAAAAAATTAAAAATTTAGGGTTTTAAAATTTTAATAAAGAGAATTTGTAAGATAAAAGAATAGTAGAATTTAATTAAAAGTTCTACTTCTTCAATTTTTTAAATTGAGTTAATTAAAATTTTTCATCCCCTTCATTTTTCCCGTACCAAACAAATCCGTGGTAATTAAAATTTTTCATCCCCTGCATTTTCCTCATACCAAATGAATCCACGGTACCATTAGATGGTTTATGCTCCGCACTTTTCTTGGTGCAAAGGATGCAAGTGGCCATCTTGTCCTCCTCATCAGATGCACTCCTTCAATTTTTAATATCGGACCTAGTTATTGAATTAATTTATTTTAAATGTAAGATCTATTTTTTATATTTATCAATTTTTTTAAATTATTTCTATTGATGCTCTCTCAATCATAATCAAATAAGACGAGAAAGAAAAATATGAAGGAAGAAGATTATGGTATTTAAAAAAAAAAACATATCATATGTTTTTATAATTTATTAATTTATCTAATTCTTTAGTTTGGTGTGTTGTCCTTATGTAACGAGGCCCAGTAATTATTATATAACACATAAAATTGATATTCAATTTGATGAACTTAGAATTGAATTGTACAAGTAATATACTCCTATCTTACTAATGGGATTGGATTTAGTAGAAGGGGCTAGTCCCTCACAACGTGACGAATCAATATTCGAATCTCTACTGTAAGAAATACTCACATTTAGTACCCCACAGTGTTTTGAATAAAATTACTTCCAATAAGAGGATATCTATACTTTAGTAAAAAAAAATATACCAAAAAAAAACTCCTATCTTGGTTTCTGAAACCCCAGTAGCCGCATCAATTATCTCACCAAAAAATATGACAGCCCCACCCCCACCCTCCCGGGACCTTCATTTTTTCCCCTGGCCGAAACCCCCTGATCATGTTAAAGACTGGAGTCCGCGAATGAATATATTAGGCATTTTTTTTAATTGATATGGTATGAACAGTTTTGAATTAAAAATCCAAATGCCACATTATAAAATATAAATCGTTCCATGGGTGCTGCATTGCGTATTATTTTTGTTGCATCACAACCTGTGAAAAAGCATTAATGTTTGAAAGTCAATTATACCAAATGCATAGGAATGCTTTTTGATTGAGAGCGATTTACGCGCGCGCGCGCGCGCACACACAAATTCGTTCAACTTCCACAAGGAAAGTAAAAATAAAACATTATTAATATATTCATATAAAATAATAAAAAATTGAAATTAACATGATTTTTACTGATTATTATGATAACTAGCATAATTATTATAAATCGAATGTTAGTTAAAAAATTCCCAAACAACAAATTTTTTTTAAAAAAGATATCATAAAAGAAATCAGGAAAGCAGCAATATCATAGTCCCCCGTTGATGCTGAGATTGAAAAGTCAAGCCGGGCAAAATCAGAAGCCAGCAAGCAGGATAGTAAAAGTCAAACCGAGCAAAATCAGAGACCAGCTAGCAGGATGGTAAAGGGGTCGGCTTTTAGAAGCCAATTTGCGATTTTAATAATATTGGCATTAGCTTTGTGATTTGAAAAGCACGGGCATATGGGAACTATATGAATAATAAAAATTATTTAAATAAGAAATGTTTGGAATGTTTATATGATACTCCTAAGCTAGTTTTTTTTTTAAAGGACTGGATTGCTATGTGCTCATCACTTGTATTTTTCTAAAAGAAAGGAAAAAAAATAGGAACAGTCTTTTTTAATTTCTATTGGAGTTTTTATTTTCGTTTTAACTTTTTCCAAATTAAAATAAATCAAAACATGATTAATTTCCTATTGAAAGTAATAAAAGAACATTTTAATTCAGTTAAGTCAAATTTAAACATGCGAGATCACTCAAAATAAAAAAGGAAGAACAACAGACAAAGACAACCATTTTTTAAGCTAATTTATATTTATCCGTTTTGAAAATTGAATAGACAGAGAAAATATCAAATATAAATAATAATTATATGAAACATAAAATTGATATTGAATTTTGGTTTCTGAATCCCAGCAATGCGGTGGTTTCTTAGATGAAGCGGAGGATTGGCCCCACCAAAAAAAAAAAATGAAGCGAGGAAAGGAAGCACCGGCGAAGCATCCTGTAGCGATGCATGGACTCACACGATAAGGTGATAGGCCGAAGCGGATTGGTGATGTGACATATTTTTTATTGTTTTCGGTCGATTTTCGTGGGTCCCACTGTTCGCTCCTGCTGTTCTCCCCTTCTTTGATCTCGCTCGCAAACTTAGCCAGCCGCAGGAAATCCCGCAAAGAAATTTCCTCCCACGAATACATTAGTTATTTATTTATTGATATGCTGTAAACAGTTTTCCAAACAAAAAAAACCCCAAATGCTCCATTGTAAAAAGAATATTTACCGGATTCCACGGATGAACGAATTTGGGAGAAGATTCCAGAAGGGGTGGGGGGAGAGGAATTATCCGCAAAGTCAAGATGTTATCCAAGAATATCTCTTTGACGAAGTTTGGCGTCGGCCTCATGGAGTGACGGTTATACATATAGGACCAAACGTTCTTTAAAAGAAAGATATAGTTTGAAGTCAACCATGTGGTACCCCACACGAGCCCCTGCGCGAAATGGTTGTTGATGCTTACGTCGGGCTGTTTACGTGGATATGTGAGAAGCCTTTTAATTGGTCCTTTTCTAAGTAACATGCCCACTGGGACTACCTTGTTCTTCTTGAGGGACTCTAAATGTGGATAAATCTGAACCGTTAAAATCTCAATTTTATGACTAAAATAAAAAGTAGATGAAAATGGAGGAAAAAGAAAGTGGAGATCTCTTGCCTGATTCTAATACCTTTAGATGGTTTATGCTCCGCACTTTTCTTGGCGCAAGTGGCGTTTCATTCTCCTCATGTTGTATTTCATTTTTGTAATGTCCAAGTTGCTACTTCGTTACTCCTAGTTTCTGTTTTGTGCTTTGGGTTATGTTTGTTTCCAATTTCTTAGGTTGTTTCTAATATGGGCTCGGCGTCTTCGCTTTGCTGTGTGGCCCTTGTGTAATGAAGCCCAATGATAATTATATAAAACATAAAATTGATATTCAATTTTATGAATATACAGCTGAATTCTACAAGTAATATATTTTGGTTCTGAACCCCGTGGCCACATCAATTAGCTTACCAAAAAATGTGACCCCCCCCCCAAAAAAACCTTCATTTCTTTTCATGGCCAAAACCCCTTAATCATGTTTTTCTGACCAAAAAAAACCCTTAATCATATTAAAGTAGATTGGAGTGCATGAATGAATAAATTAGATTTTTATCAACCAAATGCTCCATTGAAAAAGAAGATCTACTGAAATGCTAAATTATAAATCGTTCCATGGATGCTACGTTGCGCATTGTTTTTGCTGTATCACAAGTTCACAACCTGGGAAAAGCATTAATGTTTGACAATCAGTTATACCTAATGGAGAGGAATGCTTTTTGATTGGGAACGATTTACACACACACACACACACACAATTCGTTCCACAGGGAAAGTAAAAATAAATGTTATTAAGATATTTATTTAAAATAATAAAAAATTGAAGATATTATATAAAGATATAATAAAAAAAAGTCACAGATATAGTAGGGCTACGTTGATGCTGCCATTGAAAAGTCAAACCGGACATATGTGATGGAATTTGAAAATGCTACTGAGTATTGGGATATTGACGGAAGAAAACCTGCCAATTGCGATTTTAATAATATTGGCATTAGCTTTGAGATTTTAAAAGTACTCGCATAGGGGAACTATATGAAACATATAAATAACAAAAATTAATCAAATAAGAAACGTTTGAAATGTTCATATATGATATAAACGAGGTTTTTTCCAAAGGACTAGATCGTTTGGTGCTCATCACTTATATTTTTTATCTGATTTTTATTATAAACAATAGACTGGAACAGTCTCTTTTTTAATTTCTATTGGAGCTCTTATTTTGTTTTAGCCTTTTTTCCAAACTAAAATAGATAAAAACATGATTAATTTTCCACTGAAAGTAATAAAAGAACATTTTAATTCATTTAAATTGAATTTAAACCTGCCAAATTACTCAAAATAAAAAAGAAAGAACAACAGGCCAGAAGCCAGTTATATTTATCCGCTTTGAAAATTGAATAGATTGCTATAATATCAAATTTAAATAATAATTATATAAAACATGACAGCTTCGCAACAAGCACCTGGGATTGGAACCACCTGACTCATACGTCGGCATCGATGTGACAATTTTTAAAATAAGGGTGTGTTTGGATGACTTCAAACCGTGGTTTGGAAAAGTGATTCTGGAGAATAGATTCTGTGGAGAATAGATTCTGTGGAGAATAGATTCTGAGAAAAAGTGATTCTGAGAAGTGAGAGTGTTTGGATAGTTATTACCAGAAGTGCTTTTTACATGTGGAAATGACCAAAAAGGGTATAAGTTAATATGATAATTATATAAGGGATAGATTTTATGATTTATTTTGATTTGAAGAAATAAAATTGTTAATGAAATAATTTTTACTAACATAATTAATAATATATAAGATAATATAATTAATACATAATTAATATGTGTACATATATTTATAAAACATAATATTAAATATGTTTATAGAAAAATGATTTTTTTTGGAACAGAAAAATATTAATTTTGTTTAAAGATTGTAAACGTGAAATCCCATAACATTTTTTCATAACTACTTTTTGTAATAACATACTACATGTATAATAACCTCTGATGTTTAATACAATTAATTAATTAATTGTCACCACACATATATATTCATAAAATCAGAACGTCCCTGAAACTTTGGGCAGAATTCCGAATTAACCTTGCTGCACCGCATGCAACACGTCACAGCACCGCCTCTGCAACTTCTTTTCTTTGTTTCGTTCTCTCTCTTTTTGTTTTTTTTTGGGGGGGGGGGGGGGTTACAACAAAACAATCACTATGTACAACCAAAAAATGCAGGGGACCTCCATACTTTCTCTTCTTTCTATTGGAGATCTACTCAGTACTGGCCCTACGGCACCACTATCATGCATTTAATTCTGTTCTGGTAACAGGTTTCAACGAATAATTATCATCCTCGAGATCACTAAAAGATATGTCTTCTTCATTTACCTGCGGCACGGTAATTCCATCAATATCGTCCTCCGGCCATTCGTACTCATCATCTTCATAGTCCTCGAGAACAAATTTAGAGGATCGAACCCTTGATAGGTCCTTCTCCTCAGTTTTAGTTTTCGAGTTTTCCTCGACGACTGGCTCATCGATTAAATGGTCTTCAGAGCATTCACCCATGCGCTTATCACTCCCATAATCTTCCTCAAATCTGTATGTTCCATAAGCCATGGCACCAGAGTAGGCATTATCGAAAAATCTGGGAGAGAAGTCTTCTTGCTGAGCTGTGTCTTTTGAGTAGGAAATGCTCCTTCCAAAACATTCAGATTCAAGTTTCTCTTGCTCCTGTAACTCCTTCATCCACAGTGCTCTGGCTGCCAGAACCTGCAAATATTATCATGAAGGCACAGTTAATGCTGGCTGAATGAGTTAGTGCTTATAAAACAGATACAGGTCCACAAAGGAACATTCGAAGGACTTTGTACGGCAAAATAAGTTGAACTATAACAGAGCCAACACCTCTTGGTGTGAAGTCTATCATATTTTCAAAATCAAACCCCATCAACATTTCGAGGTTGGAAAAATCCAACTATTAATCAAACATAATATGCCCGGTATTCCTTCTTCATGACCGAATTTTGTTGTCTGCCAATCATTCGTGTATGAGATTTGGCATAAAAAGATTTTAAATTAAAAGCAAGGGACCTGACGATTCTGTAATTTTGAATCCACTTGAAAAGGATTAAAACTGCACTCAAAGATAAGTCTCCTTAGATAAAATGGCCATATTAGCATATCAACCAAGGAAGCCACCACAAGAGTAAGGTAATTTGTGCATTCCAGATTGCAAGAACAATATGAAAACCAGCGTGAAATCCCAGTTACTCACCTGAGGTGTAGATAAAACCTCAGCGTCCTGTTTATTAAGCCTTGAATGCAAAAGTACAAAATAGACTTTCCAAAAGTAACTTTCACTCATATGGCAAGGGCACAGCTCAATTCTGAGCGCAGCTAATCTAGGTGCAAGTCTTTCAATGGCCATAGCATGCTCTTGTTGGGCATCGGACACGTCAAAATCTACGAGTAAGTAGATATGCAGAATTAATTGTGGGCAGACAGCCAAGTTCATCACTATAAGAATTGGAGCACGCAAAAAACGACAACAAGAATCGAATGAAAAGGGGAGATCAAGCTCATTGCCGATACGGACGCAGTGTGCGGGTCAACTCAACAATTTCATAAACAGCACGATCTTCATGGTTATGACTCGCGCAAAACTCAAATCAAGAGCATAAAGAATTTTCATCGAAAGGAAATATAAGCATCATTCACGAATAAGACAGCCGGATGAGTAATATCAAATCCCGCTTACCATCCGTGTCATCTTCTTCGTCGACAGGATAATCCAACCACGTCTCGGGATGCATCGCGATGTTTCTGGCGAAGGCCAATACCTCATCTGTAATTCCAACCCCACGTTCAAGATCATACTCCTCCATTGCGGATTCCTCGTTTCGTAGAGACTCGGATCCAAACGAAATCGAATTCGGAATTCTGCCCAAAGTTTCAGGGACGTCCTGGTGGAAACTTGCTTCCTCGACAAACGGCCGATTAATACAACATCAAATCAGAATTTCCAGCAAGCATCAACGATTCCGAACGGATAATTAACGGGTCAAACTCTCATGGCAAGCTCACGATTCCTAAACCCAGCAAGCATCAACGACAAACGATTCCTAAACCCAGCATCAACGATTTCGGTTTTATTGAAGGCAGAAGAAGACCCAGAACCAGAAGGTCCAGCTCGCAACACGCCGATTACAGAGCAAGAAACAGGGGCTATGGAGAAGAAGAAAATTGCGGATCTGAGCTACCTTACCTGAGCGACGGATCTGAACCAGGGAACACCGACCGGCGACCACAGCCAAATGCTTCACACCGAACCTAAGCGCCAGAAATAGCTGCAATCTTCTTCAACCATGGAGCTGCGATTTCTCTCACCGGCGGCGACTTCTTCAAACCGTGGCTACACGCCGACTTCTTCACCGGCGGCGACTGGTTCTGTGAAGGAGGAGACGAAGACCGTGGTGCAGACTGTGAAGGATGGTGTTGCGTGGGGTGCGAGGACCGACGGGAGAACTGGAGGTGTGAACGAGAGGAGTGAATTATTCAGAGCAATAATGGAGCCTTTGGTCATTTGTGGAGGGACCACCCGCACCTTTCAGCAAATATCCGAAAAGCAGAAAAATTGTGCTGCTGGCCAAACCATGGTTTCAACCGTTGAAACCATGGTTTTTATCAGAACCTTGGTTTTCCAAATTTGCATGACCGTTTGGATGACATTTTGGCCAAACCTTGGTTTGGGCTTCCAAACCAAGGTTTGGAGTGCAATCCAAACGGTCCCTAATTGCGTTTGCGTTTGCGTTTGCGTTTGCGTTTTCGCCTTTAGGTTTAGGTGAAGTCGGTAATTATTGGAATTATTCTTGGAGATTCCCCGGTCAGAAAAAAATGGATAACTAAGGCTTCCGTTTTTTGACTTTGAGTACGTAGCTTTTGAGTCTTTGAGAAGCCACCGCTTGCAAGGCTTGCTAGACTCAGAAGAGAAATTATCTCCTATGAACACATTATTCGAAACGAAAGACAAAGTATAAATCATGGGTCAACTAAGCTTTACATATTTTTTAGAAAAAAATTTCAGCAAAGTCTCACAATGTGGGCTTTATAAATTTTCAATCCCAAAGAATTTTGAAAACCCAATTCAGTCTCAAAATAATAAAATGTCTTTCTTTTTTTTCTCAAAATAAAAAAAGAAAGAGCAACAGGCCAAAAGGCAGTCCATTTATTAAGCTAATTATATTTATCCATTTTGAAAATTGAATAGATAGCTATGATATCAAATTTAAATAATAATTATATATTTGATGAATATAAAGTTCCTTACATGAAGGAACAAGCACCGAGGAAGGACCTTACTCATCCGATGATTAGGGGTGAGCATTCGGTTTTTCGGTTCGGTTATCACCGATAACCGAATTAACCGAATAACTGAATAGAGTAAATTTTAAACACCGAACCGAAACCGAATAACCAAACTAACTGAAACCGAATTAACCGAAAATTTCGGTTTGGTTAACCGATTAACCGAAATATATAAATATGAAAAATAATTTTAAATTAAAAATAATAATAAAACACAATTATAACCATTAATTAATAAATATTTCATCATTCAATGTGATTTATTATAATAATATTTATTATAATCATATTTATTGAATATAAATATATTTAAAAAGTTTACATATACCCACATATATATTTATTATAATAATATTTATTAAATATAAATATATAATATATTTATTTCGGTTATTCGGTTATAACCGAATTTTTTTCCTACTAACCGAACCGAACACCGAAACCGAATTGTTTAAAAAATAAAAACCGAATATATAACCGAAAACCGAAATAACCGAACCGAAAAACCGAAATTAAATTCGGTTCGGTTCGGTTTTGCTCGCCCCTACCGATGATCGGTATTGATGTGACAATTTTTAAACATAACTAAAAACCAGGATCGTTCCTGGGTCCCACCTACAGTTTCTTCCGTTCTTTGAAGGGTGAACTAGCGTTTAACACTCTAAACTTATTTTACAGGTGCACTTAACACCCTAATCTTTTAAAAGGTGTGATTTTACCTTTCATTTTTTAAATTTGGAGCAATTTTAATCAGGGCTAACTATGCATCAAACTCTGTTTAAAAACCTTGACACATGGCTCTTTTTTTTTTTTTTGAAAACTTCCACATAAGTATATTGACATGGCACCTAATAATAATGAAATTTCCACATGAGCTTAGGTTTTTCAATCAGAAAGAAAACCCTTCAGTATTTCAATGCATAAAGAAGAGCGAAGAAGGATCATGCAAATAGCAGCCGAAGAGTAGAGAAGCATCAAAATCAAGTGAGTAAATTCGTCTTTGAGTATAAAAGAAAGATTGATTAACAGGTAAGAATGAATTTGTATTGGTTTTTGTTTTCTTTCTATGGTCCCACTAAAGCCATAAAAAAAAACAAATAGGGTTTACTAAAAGAGATTTTTTTATTCAGAAAATGGAAGGAGATGGGAATCTAGGAGATAATGTGGAATGGGACAAAGATGATGTGGTACAAGAGGCCACCAAGTTCCTGCACATTAGGGTTTCTGATCAAATTTCAAAGTTAATAATTTTTTTAAAAAAAATCAGATCAGCCATCTTTCACGTCATCTACTTACATGGAAGTTTTCAAAAAAAAAAAGTCATGTGTTAAGGTTTTTAAACAGAGTTTGATACAAATTTAGTCTTGATTAAAATTGCTCCAAATTTAAAAAATAAGGAGTAAAATTATACCATTTAAAAGATTAGGGTGTTGAGTGTAGCGGTAAAATAAATTCAGGGTATTAAGCGCTACTTCACCCTTTTTTGAATTTGAGTATTTCGCTTCGAGCCTTTGAGAAGTCTCTCCGCTTGCGAACTTTGCCAGACACAGAACAGAAATTGTTTCCTATGAACACATTATTAGACACTTTTTTAGAAAAAATTTCAGTTAAGTTCCACAATGTGGACTTAATAAATCTTCAGTGCCAACTTCCAAGAGATTCTGAAAATTCAAGTCAGTCCGTCTTAACACAAAATGAAATTACATGAACAAGTAAAAAGACTATTTAACCCTTAAAATAAATAATGCACAACTCTACATATAAAAATTTATAACAAAAAATAGAGAAATAATGATTCTTTATATGAAAAATTACAACGAAGAATAGAAAATGTACAACTCCATATGGAAAAATTTATAAGAATAGACAAATAATTAACAACTATGCATATTATGTCATTTACAACAATAAATACAAAAGTAATAAGTATATATATAAAAATTTATAAGAAACAACAGAAAAATAACATTCATATATATATATATATATATGACCGTTTACAATAAACAATAAGAAAATAACAACCATAGATATGAAAATTGCCACACAAAAAAAAATGAAATTTATTTAAATAACATTTATGTATATTGTCATTAAGGGCTAAATTGTCCTTTTATTTGTTTACTTAATTTTATCGGGTTAGGGAGACTGAATTAAATTTTAAGAATCTTTTAAAACTGAAAATTTATTAAGACAACATTGTGGGAGTTAGCTGAAATTTTTCTTATTTTTAATTGATATGCTATAAACAATTAAAAACAACACCCAAATGTTCCATTGCAAAAGAAATTAGTAAGGAAAAATCCTAATTAAATCTAGTTGAAACACTAAAACTCAAATTCAAATCTATACTCCTAGCAAATTACTGATTAGGCCAAGAGACTTAACAAATAATTTCTAAATACTGTCAAAAGACTAAAAGCTCATACTCGTCTTCTCTTTCTATGTTAATATAGATTTATATTATACACACGCATTAATATATAAAACATTATTCATATATATCATATAAATAATAATATTATTATATTATAACAATGTTATATCATTTTTTATTTCAAAATGCATATAAAAATATTTGATCGTATGAAAATAAAATAAAGACAAAATCGTCTATATGAAAATCTGGAAAAACAGTAAAAAAAAAAGACCTTAAAAATAAAAAAATTATAAATAGAAACTTGTTATAATATTAGTATTAGTTTTGAAAATAATTAATAAGCAAATGATAATAATTTTTGTGAATGAGTTATTGTATGCAATTTTTTATTTTTTAGGGTTTTTTTTGGCAAATTTTCCTCAAAATTTGTCCCTTCCCCTCCAAGGGCATCCCCCGGGGCTTTTTCCAGAAACAAAAAAAATTTTTTTTAAATATTTTTGCTTCCCCCTTATATTTTGTCATCGCCTTTATTATATCTCACACACGGAGGTGCATACTGGAGCCTGTTCTGCCTCCTCCTCCTCCTCCTTAGACTCCATAAGAAACAGAGCATTCATTTTCTCCGTTATCATTCCTCCCCGCCGCCCACAACGAAAGTGAAAGACGTGGGTTCGGTGTACTGTGACTTGGCGGGCAGCGCAGATAATCGCCACGGAGCCAAATCAACAGAGGACTCGTGCTCATCAGTCGCGGCCTCCGACGCAAACATCCTCCATTCTCACTCTTATTCTCCCATTGATCGCCGTCGTTGCCATGCTAACCTTCTCTTTCAATGTTGTGTGCTTGGTTTTGTTCTTCGATCCTTCATCTCTCGATTTTTGATCTTATCAAGTTACCGTATAGTGATCTTCTCTCTCAATATTATTGTATGATTTAACCCCCCCCCCCAAAAAAAAAAACACACAAAATTCGTTCCACAAGGAAAGTAAAAATAAAACGCTATTAAGATATTTATTTAAAAATAATAAAAAATTGAAGATATTATAAAAGAAATAAAAAAAGCACCAATACCGTAGTGCCACGTTGATGCTGAAATTGAAAAGTCAAACTGGGCATATGAGATGGAATTTGGAAACGCCACTGAGTATTGGCAGGATGGAGGAAGAAAAATAAAGGGAAAATGCCAGAAAAATGCACCTCCAACTCCAAAAGCCCAAAAACGTCCGCCAAATATCAGTAATCCCGATTTGGTACCAGCAGACCATTTTGGGATTATTTTCTTAGACAAAAAGACCAAACCGCCCTCACCCATTACAAAGCGTGGGCACCACATGGGCACCGCAATAAGCCGCACACCGAAGGAAGATAGGCGGGAAGGAAAGGAGAGAAACGTGCGCGTTCCAGCAGGTCGAAGGTGACGAAAACGTGGTGGTTCGAAAGGGTAAGTGTTTTTCTGGAATCATATGACTGTTTCATCCTCCATGCATGACTGTTGCGGTCTGTTTTCTTCATTTTGGTGGTCCTGCGTTCTGTATGTGGCGTTGAGGGTTCAGAGTAGGTAAGGGGCGGCATTACGTAAGGCATACGTTCTTCATATTGGGGTGTTGGTTTTTCCTTTTTTAGGTGTGAGAATGGTCATCAATCTGAACAAATGAGTTGATTACTGTTAGATAAGGTTAGGGTTCTGGCCAAGTTAGTTTTGTCAGCTTAAGAGGGAGACGATGCTGCAGCAATCGTAAGTTGATTCATCTGGAGGTATTGGTTGTTGTTTTTAACTTGTGGGAATGGAACGTATGAGTCGGGTAGTGAGTGATAGAGTTAGCTTAGTCTGGGACGGTGTTTATAATGATCTGTTTTTGGGGATAGCAGATGGTAGCTGAGGGAAATTGGAAGAAGCGCTGCGATGATCACGTATATAAGTAGGCTGAATATCCATAGTAATGAGGTTGTGAAGGGTGTTGTTAATAGTTAAAGTGGAGTTGTGAAACGATATATTGAAGTTGTTAACTTTGAAAGTAGCTGTGTTGGATTTATGAAATATCCTTTTTACAGAGATGACATTGTGATGAAATATTTTCCTTGTTTGTTGCAGGGTATAATGCAGAATGAGTTGCAATATTGGGTCAACATATTCAAAGACACTTGCGTTGATTTTTCATCTTGGTGGAAACTTTGTTAATAATGTTGAAGGTGAAATGAGATACAATGGTGGGAGTGTGAGAGTTAGAACGATAAAACAGGGGATAAGATATGAAGAGTTGAGGTTAATGATATTGGAATGGTTTGATATAGATGTTAATATTTGTGACATGAAATATACAGTGAGCCTCGATGATAAGGCATTAGTAGATTTGGTTGATGATAGTGAAGTTGATAATCTTTTTCAGTATAATGACACTAGTGCACATGTGTATCTAGCATTGAAGGAGAGTACACCGGAAGTAATGGATGATCCACAAATGTGAGACTTGTTTTTTTATGGTTATTTTAGTTGTTATTTGTTATATTGTTGTTGTGAATTTGCTAACAAAAGTTGTAATTATGCATGCAGCATTGACAACTACTTGGGATTGTCACAACAAATGTGTTTTTTGTCAAGTAGGGAGAATAATATGGACGGAACAGTTTGTGATGAAAATGGGGGTGACTGTGTAAGAGAAGGCGGTGGGGGATGTCATGTGAGGCTAGTAAGTACAGTAGAGATTGCACCAACACCAATGCCCGAGATGAATGCTGTGAAGTGGAAGGAATTGTTGTTAGGAAAGAAGCAAACTTTTGCAAATGCCACAGAATTCAGAAAGGCAGTATATAAGTTTAGTATTGCAGAAAACTTCGAGTACAAATATGTCAAAAATTGTGAGGAATGTGTGCATGTGAAATGCAAAGTTGAAGGTTGTCCTTGGCGGATAATAGCAAGAGTAGCTGCGAAGAGAAGTCCTTTCCTCGTTGTAACTCGACTGAGTAATGAACATGTGCATAATGCCCAAGAGATGATGCAAGTTACACATGGTGGAAGAGCAGCCTTGACATCATCAATTATCATTGAGGAGGTAAGGGATCACACTGAAAAGCGTCCAAATGAAATAAGGAGGACCTTGGCAAGGGATTATGGTGTGAAGTTGACATATAAGCAAGCATATAGGGCTAAGGAAAAAGCATTAGAGGAAATACAAGGGAGGCCTGAACAGTCATACATGTTGATACCATGGATATGTCAACGATTGAAGGAAACCGATGAGAAGACGGTAGCTGAATGGGTAGCAACTGTTAACAATATATTTGAGCGTGTTTTCATAGCATATGGTTGTTGCATAGAGGGTTTTTTTCTGGGGCAAGACATATACTGTACATAGATGGAACACATTTGAGTGGACCATATAGGGGAACACTGCTATCAGCCTCAGCATATGACGCGGACAATGAATTGTTACCATTCGCGTATGCTATTGTGAAAGGAGAGACTTATGAGGAGTGGGCATGGTTCTTAAACATGATAAAACAGATAGTTGGTGCAATCCAATTAATTATTGTGTCAGATCGTCACAATGCAATAATAGGAGCTGTTGGAGCAATATTTGGAGGTGACCGTCATGCATACTGTTATAGACACGTGAAGGAAAATTTCAGCTCTGAAATGAATAAATTATACAGAGGTAGGAGGAGAACTAGTGGTATTAGTAAGGAAGTTGGATTAAAGTTGCTTGATGACATTGCATATGCAAGGGTTAACGTTGAGTTTGATAAGGCAATGACAAGGATGGGAAATTTCAGTCCTCAGTTACTTCAGTGGCTTAACAATCATGGTGATATTCATAAGTGGGCAATGAGCAAGTTTGCATATAAACGGTGGGATAACATAACAACGAACATTGCTGAGTCATTCAATGCTTGGATTGTAAAGGAAAGGCAGCATAATGTTGCCCAACTTATTCATGAACATCGTGAGAAGGTTGCAAGGAAGATGTTCGCAGCAAGTGTGGCAATGAGGAACTGGAGAAATGGTGTGGGTCCAAACATTGATGGAAAAGTGATGGAAAATGTGGCTAGATCGATTCATATGCATGGTGAACCTTATGGAGGTGGCAGGGTCTGTGTACATACTTCGCGTGGAGCCTTATATGTCAATGTTCAGTCACATGAATGCACTTGTGCTGCATGGCAAATGACAGGGATTCCGTGTCCACACGCTTGTGCTGCAATAAGGGTGGTTCATGCAAATGTGTATGATTTTGTGGAGGACTGTTATAAAATAACATCCCAAGAGAAGATTTATGGGAACACCATGATTCCAGTAGTGACAATTGACAGGCCTAATCCTAATGATTATATGCTGCAAAATATAGGAAACCAAGTGTGGCTATACCCACCTACAACTAGTAGACCTTCGGGAAGGCCAAGAATTAGGAGGCGGGAATCCCAATTCCAAAACAGGAAGATTTACCACTGTGGACAGTGTCATGAACCTGGGCATAGTAAAAGAACATGCAGAAATCCAAACCCAAGTTAAAATTGGTAGTCCACGTGTGGGTTTATTTTGTAAAGGTTATTTTTTGTTGTGGCTTGTAAATATTTTGCAACTCTTCATATTTTTTTGGATGAAGGGTTGTGTCATGTGGTAAGTCGACATCGTAAGTCACACATAGTCAGTGAAATGTGTATTTTGATGTCAGTGACAAGAAAACATTAAGTGGGGATGAAATATTAATGTTAGCCTGTCACTGATTGTAAGTACTGTCAGGAAGGATCTGGTTATAGGAAAATACCTATATTGAAGTTGTTATTTCCTTTAACTGTGTTGTTAACAATGACAGAAGTTGCAAGACGAGTCCCCTTATTATTCATGTTTGATATTGTTGCCTTATGTTTTATGTTTTTAAGTATGATCATCGTATATGAACTTCATTTGAACTGAGTTAAAAATATGGGTATTACTGATCATTTTGTTTTATGACAGTTGTTAAACTTTTACTCGAGTTGTTGAAACGTTATTTAGGGGTTGTTATATGGTTTACTGAAGTTGTAATATGGTGGGTTTAGTCATTATCGGAAATGCTGTTGGGAACGCATATTGAAGTGGGTTTAGTTCGTAAACACGTTTCTAAAGAGGGCGTAAGCACGCCTGTAAACCAGGTGGTTAACAGGTATACCTGCGTTGTGATAACCTTATACTGACGTTGTTAAAAGGTTAACCGAAGTTGTGAAAAGGGTTTTTTCCCCCATCTTGAGGAAGCTGTTGTGAATACCGATACTAAAGTTGTAAAAATTTAAAATAATGTTGTTAAGCCATACACTGGAGTTGTAAAATTTCTCCCCGATCTTAAACACGTTTCCAACGAGGGTACAAGCATGCAAGGGACCCGTTAGCTTACGGGTATACTTGAGTTGTGAAAAACCTATACTTAAGTTGTTAAAAGCTTCACCGAAGTTGTAAAAGGGGGTATTTGTTTCCATCTTCAGAAAGCTGTTGTGAAAACCTATACTGAAGTTGTAAACAAGTATAATAAGGTTGTTAATGCATACACTGGAGTTGTAAAATTTCCCCCCGATCTTAAACACGTTTCCAACGAGGGTACAAGCATGCAAGGGACCCGTTAGCTTACGGTTATACTTGAGTTGTGAAAAACCTATACTTAAGTTGTTAAACGCTTGACCGAAGTTGTAAAAGGGGTATTTGTTTCCATCTTCAGAAAGCTGTTGTGAAAACCTATACTGAAGTTGTAAACAAGTATAATAATGTTGTTAATTCATACACTGGAGTTGTAAAATTTCTCCCCGATCTTCAACACGTTTCCAACGAGGGTACAAGCATGCAAGGGACCCGTTAGCTTACGGTTATACTTGAGTTGTGAAAAACATATACTTAAGTTGTTAAACGCTTGACCGAAGTTGTAAAAGGGGGTATTTGTTTCCATCTTCAGAAAGCTGTTGTGAAAACCTATACTGAAGTTGTAAACAAGTATAATAAGGTTGTTAATGCATACACTGGAGTTGTAAAATTTCTCCCCGATCTTCAACACGTTTCTAACGAGGGTACAAGCATGCAAGGGACCCGTTAGCTTACGGTTATACTTGAGTTGTGAAAAACTATACTTAAGTTGTTAAACGCTTGACCGAAGTTGTAAAAGGGGGTATTTGTTTCCATCTTCAGAAAGCTGTTGTGAAAACCTATACTGAAGTTGTAAACAAGTATAATAATGTTGTTAATGCATACACTGGAGTTGTAAAATTTCTCCCCGATCTTCAACACGTTTCCAACGAGGGTACAAGCATGCAAGGGACCCGTTAGCTTACGGTTATACTTGAGTTGTGAAAAACCTATACTTAAGTTGTTAAACGCTTGACCGAAGTTGTAAAAGGGGGTATTTGTTTCCATCTTCAGAAAGCTGTTGTGAAAACCTATACTGAAGCTGTAAACTCTTATAATAATGTTGTTAATTCATACACTGGAGTTGTAAAATTTCTCCCCGATCTTCAACACGTTTCCCACTTGGGTGTGGGCGTGCAAGGGACCCATTACTTAACGGGTATACATGAGTTGTGAAAAACCTATACTAAAGTTGTTAAAAGCTTCACCGAAGTTGTAAAAAGGGGTACTTGTTTTCATCTCGTGAATGCTGTTGTGAAAACCGATACACAAGTTGGAAACATATATAATGCTGCTGTTAAAATTTACCATAAAGTCTGACTACTAATGTCGCAAATGGTATGCACCCGTTGCTAACAAGACACAATTACTAATCTTGAAATCAGTCCTTCTGCCATGTACATAAATGTTCTCCAAAGTTAAATAACATGGAACTACATCAGAGTGTCACATAGACATGTAAAAGGAACCTCCTACTAAGTACTATGACAAACGTCGTCTTTTGGTGGTTGTCTTGTTCTGCTGTTCTGAGAGGAGAGTTAAGGCTTCTTCACGACTTGAATTTTGCGGATGATTAACTAGCCACCACATTAGCTCACGCCTAAACTCAGCTACATGATTCTGCATATAAGACAGGTCCATATGTTAATGTCCACCGTACCTGGCAAATAATTAATCATTAATTACAGACAACTTTCATACCTCATTGAAGTCAAATGTCACATCCGGGACCCATTTGCTTAGCCAGATCAACACATGAACACCACAATCTCTCCTATACATCCAATGGGAAATAAAACATTTAAGTTAGTATGTCTGCTTCTGCAATTCACATCTTAAACTAGAAAACAATGTCAACAGTCAACACAACATACAAGTTGTTCTGTTGTGGAACAGGTGCAAAAATAATATCAGTCTTAGGCTTCTTCCCAACAAGTTGAGGTCTGACTAATGCAATTATATCATAAAAGTTGTCTCTCTGCAAACCGACAACAGAAATCCAAAATATGAGATAAAAAGGTGGAAACATTGGGCACTTGTGATACACAGATACATTAGTTTAGTCCTTACACATGCATGAAGATGAAACATCCTTTTTTCTTCCAATGAATCCTTCTTCTTGGTCTTCTTTGGCATATCATTAGGCAGCCTCATGGAGTCCAGGACATAAAAATGCATTGTTTTTGGCTCCAACACAAAGCAAAACCAGTGAGACTCAACAATTGCGGGTCCAAATATTAAATCACAGTCACCTAGGTTGTACCCGATATGCTGTGGCAAAATAGCACGTTTGTTCTCTGATGCTCGCCACTGAGAAGGGTTACCAAGCATTTTCATCTACAAAACAACATATTAGTTTAATCATCACAACCCGTAATTGTCAAACAAACCGTACACACCACAGGGCTCACCATGAACTCAGCATCAAAAATGTGTCGCCTCACTTGTCCTCCCTCACCTGCCTCTGCCATTAATGCCCTACCGACCATTGTTATTAGAGGGCTACTCACTCTTTCGATTCCACCTATCGTGCGCAATTGATCCCGATCAATTTGTTCATCACACATTGTAACCATAATCCTGCAATGTATACATCATATGTAAGTAAAACAACAATAACAAAACAAGATGAAAAAATTTCCTGCTTTCAATGTTCCATGCACGGCATATCTTACTTCTGACCCTCCTCCCGTGAACACATACGAGAGACAATGTTGAAAAACTTGTCTTTCTCAGTTATCACTCTCTTTCTCCTCTTAACAGGCTTCAACATGGAAATCCATGGAGAAGTTACTTGACGACTTGGAATGATTGTTCTCTTTGATGGCCTTTGGTCTTCTCCCTTGTCAGTCTCTTCATCTGATGACTCCACCCCTTTATCTCCTTCATCATCACCTTTCTCACTGTCTCCTTCCTCTCCATCCTCATCACCTTCATCACTACCTCTTTCCTGATCATGGGCTTCACCTTCAGCAGTATCTCTATCACTATAACCTTTGTCACTACCTCCCTCTTCACCTTTACCATCAGATGGAAGAATCACTGCCTCATCGGGTGTGTTGTCAACAAGGTCCCTCAGATTTGAACTTGGCATCCCCTGTAGATGGAGCTGCACCTTCATAAGCTCCTCTGCAAATTGGTTACTAAGCCTTTTATGGCTTTCCTCAAGTGCATCCATCATCCTTCGATGCACTTGCTTCAATTCCTGCTAACACATTTGCTAAACAGTTAAACTCTTTACATACTAATGAATTTTATACATACAAAACTACAAACATACCGGCCGTAGATGAGCAACACTTATTGTATCTTCGACCACTTTTGTAGACTTCCCTTTGTACAATAGGCCTATGTTACTCTTTGACTCTTTGTTGACCAATTCCTTTATTCTCTTATCCGTCCAATATGCAATAGCATTTGTTGGGTCATGGTTAGTAGCTTTTGACAATGGGAATTTCTCACCCAAATATAGCTGCAACCACAATCATAGAACACACCGCATTAGCCAATTGAATTAAACAGTTACATTAACATTGAACAACATGTTTTGCTCTAAACATACCACCAAGAAGTACAGGCAGCCACCCACAGTGCAGCACGGATCCCTCTCCTTCCTGAACAAATTCACATAATCTTCCATTTCCTTGTAGAGGTCATTCATGATGTATGTTGCCCAATCATACTGTTCATATCCATTCATAGTTGCACATACCACCCTTAATAACTTCTCACCAACTCTTGCACTTGAAGTTGGAGCTAGAAATGTGCCAAGTGTGACCAACATAAATAATAGTTCAAAATGCTCATCATCCGTCCCACTTTTTATGTCAGCTAATATCTTGCTATAAACAACATTTAAATACTTTCTCCTCAGCTTCTTATATGTGTCATGATTTTCATCAACATCTCCTTTTACCTCTTCCCCAGTATGGGGCACACCAAGCAATGTTCCCACATCGTCTGCCTCAACTTCTTCTGTCCTCCCCCTTAATCGGAACTGATGTGTTGCTGGATCGTACGATTGAATGAAAGCTACAATTAACTCACGTGGGAGTTTGTCAATTTCCACATCCAACAACTTAGAGAATCCTATGTTCTCTATCCTTTGTCTTAAACTTTCATCACTCTTAACAAATTCCGCCAGTGACATGAATTGACGAACAGAGCAACGGGTGAACATTTTCCATACTCTCTTACTCTTCTTCTTCTCCGGCCTCATTTGTTTGGCCCTTTCACTATATATTTTCTTCTCCTTAATAGAGAGCCTTGTCCATGCCTCTTTCGCCTTGTTAGTTCTATCTACTACACCCTTGAATTTTTTCCCTTGAGCAAATTCCTCTCTAAATAAGACATACCCATTCCTTGGCCCTTTTGAAGTTGATGTCTCTCCCTCCAACACCATTTTTTCTGCACATTACACATTAATACAAGCATGTCAGAAAACAATTAGGAACTTGTGATTAACAACATCTATATAGTTATTTATAACTTCGGTATGGCTATTCACAACAGCATTTTGAAGAAAACAAAACCCTTTTCCCGACTTCGGTTAGAACTTAACACCTCCAGTGTAGGGATTAACAACATCTATATAAGTATTTACAACTTCAGTATGACTATTCACAACAACATTTTGTTGTAAACACAGACCCCTTTTTCCGACTTCGGTTAGAACTTAACAGCTCCAGTGTAGGGATTAACGACATCTATATAAGTATTTACAACTTCATTATGGCTATTCACAACAGCATTTTCAAGAAAACACAACCCCTTTTTCCAACTTCGGAGTTACTATTTTACAACTCCGGTGTAGGTATTAACAACATATATATAGATGTTTACAACTTCAGTATGGCTATTCACAACAGTATTTTCAAGCAAACAGAGACCCCTTTTTCCAACTTCGGTTACAACTTTACAACTCCAGTGTAGGGATTAACGACATCTATATACATATTTACAACTTCAGTATGACTATTCACAACAACATTTTGAAGAAAACAAACCTCCTTTTCCGACTTCGGTTAGAAGTTAACACCTCCAGTGTAGGGATTAACGACATCTATATAAGTATTTACAACTTCATTATGGCTATTCACAACAGCATTTTCAAGAAAACACAACCCCTTTTTCCAACTTCGGGGTTACTATTTTACAACTCCGGTGTAGGTATTAACAACATATATATAGATGTTTACAGCTTCAGTATGGCTATTCACAACAGTATTTTCAAGCAAACAGAGACCCCTTTTGCCAACTTCGGTTACAACTTTACAACTCAAGTGTAGGGATTAACGACATCTATATACATATTTACAACTTCAGTATGACTATTCACAACAACATTTTGAAGAAAACAAACCCCTTTTCCGACTTCGGTTAGAAGTTAACACCTCCAGTGTAGGGATTAACGACATCTATATAAGTATTTACAACTTCATTATGGCTATTCACAACAGCATTTTCAAGAAAACACAATCCCTTTTTCCAACTTCGGGGTTACTATTTTACAACTCCGGCGTAGGTATTAACAACATATATATAGATGTTTACAGCTTCAGTATGGCTATTCACAACAGTATTTTCAAGCAAACAGAGACCCCTTTTGCCAACTTCGGTTACAACTTTACAACTCCAGTGTAGGGATTAACAACATCTATATATACTTTTACAACTTCATTATGGCTATTCACAACAGCATTTTCAAGAAAACAAACCCTTTTCTCCAACTTCGGTTACAATTTTACAACTCCAGTGTAGGGATTAACAACATCTATATAAGTATTTACAACTTCAGTATAGCTATTCACAGCAGCATTTTGAAGAAAACACAGACCCCTTTTTCCAACTTCGGGGTTACTAGTTTACAACTTCGGTGTAGGTATTAACAACATCTATATACATGTTTACAGCTTCAGTATGACTATTCACAACAGTATTTTCGACAAAACACAGACCCCTTTTGCCAACTTCGGTTACAACTTTACAACCCTTGTGTACGGATTAACAACATCTATATATACTTTTACAACTTCATTATGGCTATTCACAACAGCATTTTCAAGAAAACAAACCCTTTTCTCCAACTTCGGTTACAATTTTACAACTCCAGTGTAGGGATTAACAACATCTATATAAGTATTTACAACTTCAGTATAGCTATTCACAGCAGCATTTTGAAGAAAACACAGACCCCTTTTTCCAACTTCGGGGTTACTATTTTACAACTTCGGTGTAGGTATTAACAACATCTATATACATGTTTACAGCTTCAGTATGACTATTCACAACAGTATTTTCAACAAAACACAGACCCCTTTTTCCAACTTCGGTTACAACTTTACAACCCTTGTGTACGGCTTAACAACATCTATATATACTTTTACAACTTCAGTATGGCTATTCACAACAGCATTTTCAAGAAAACACAAACCCTTTTCTCCAACTTCGGTTACAATTTTACAACTCCAGTGTAGGGATTAACAACATATATATTTACATGACAGTGGGTACATTCACCTTTTTTTTCAAATAATTATTTTAAGTTTGGCCCCCTCTACACCCTTATACACACTCCCCCACACCATCACTGCAATTCATACCTTAAATCAAACTATACAATTATACTAATATGCACTTAACTTAGGCTAATAGATGAAAGACAATTATTGTCCATAGAGATAACAGTGTCATCGATGTTAATTAAGCTGACAGGAATAGCTTGGTGGCTGGGCTGGAGGAGTGGGAAATGTGAATGAAAAGAACAAAAAGGTAGAGATAAAGTAGTGATGAAACAGTGAAATCATTAACAAGAAAAGAAAAGGTACGGGGCTGTGGGCTGTGTATGTGGTCCACACTCCTGAAAGTATATCAGTCATCATATGGTGAAATCCAAGCAATCTAGTTGGGTCCTCCACTTTCTGCACATTCACTTTGTCATTTTCATCTCCAGAAACTGCCCACTCCCTCTCACACACATTCGATCGACATCTTAAAAGTAGTAGCAGTATCAAATATATAACTTCAACAAACACAGAGAAGGAAGGAATGTTAACAAACTTACCTCTGTCTCACTGCAAATTCCTCCTCTTCTCTCTTCCTCACCTTCGATCGATTGCCGCAATGTAGCCGTTCCGTCGTTCTTTTCCTTTCTCTTCTTCGACGATGACCACCAAACGCTCTTCCTTCTTCTCTTCTCTCTTCTTCGACGCCGGTAGTAGCTTCCTCCTCTGCTCTCTTCTCCTCTCTTCTTCGCTCCGTCGGCTGCAACAGGGATCGAGAATGAGAGAGTCGAAAAACCGCCTCTGTTCCCAACTTTTGTTTAAAATAACACTGAGGGCGGTTTGGTCTTTTCGTCTAAGAAAATAATCCCAAAATGGTCTGCTGGTACCAAATCGGGATTACTGATATTCGGCGGACGTTTTTGGGCTTTTGGAGTTGGAGGTGCATTTTTCTGGCATTTTCCCAAAAATAAATAACAAAAATTAATCAAATAAGAAACGTTTGAAGTGTTTATATGATATAAGAGAGGTTCCCCCCCAAAGGACTAGATTGTTTGGTACTTATCACTTATACTTTTCATCTAATTTTTATTATAAAAAAAACTAGGAACAATATTTTTTAAATTTCTATCAGAGTTTTTAATTTTTGTTTAGCTTTATTCCAAACAAAAAGAACATTTTAATTCATTTAAATTGAATTTAAACATGCCAAATTACCCCAAATAAAAAAGAAACAACAAGAGGCCAAAAGACAATACATTTCTCAAGCTAATTATATTTATTCCTTTTGAAAATTGAATAGATAGCTATAATATCAAATATAAATAATAATTATATAAAAAATAAAATTGATATTCAATTTGATGAGTATACAATTAAATTGTACAAGTAGTATACTATTCTTTTTAGTTAAAAGCATAGCACATGCGAAGGATCTCAGATCTGGACATTTTATTTTGGCCGTAGATGAGATGGAGGGTGCGGATTGGGGAAGAGGATGGTAAGAAGAAGGGAATGGCAGGCTTCGCTCCGGCACGTGTCCCCCTCCTCCTGAAACAAACAAAAAAAATTAAAATATTTGTTTGCTTTTTCTTCCCCCTCTTCGTCTCGCTATTCCCCGTCCTTTTATCATTTGCCACCCACGGAGAGAGAAAGCTGAGCCAGTTCCACCTTCTTCCTCTTCCTCTTCCTCAGGCTCCACAAGAAACAGAGCATTCATTTTCTCTGTTTCATTCCTCGCCGCCGCCCACAACGAAAGTGAAAGGCGTGGGTTCGGTGTTCTGTGACTTGGCGGGCAGCGCAGATAATCGCCATGGAGCCAAATCAACAGAGGACTCGTGCTCATCGGTCGCGTCCTCCGACGCAAACCTCCTCCAATCTCACTGTTATTCTCCCATTGATCGCCTTCGCTGCCATGGTAACCTTCTCTCTCAATGTTGTATGCTCGGTTTTGTTCTTCGATTATTCATCTCTCAATGTTTGATCTTATCAAGTTGCTGTATGGTGTTCTTCTCTCTCAATATTGCTGTATGCTTAAATGTGTGTTGGCACCTATCTACTAGCTCAAAATCACTAGTTACTGTGTGTGGATTTTGGTGTTCACATTTTAAATTACCGACGGGCTTGTTGAACAAGCAGCGATTTCTCCGCCGCCATCGTAACTATACAATTACCGCAAAAACAGTGCTCCAATCCCTCCGTCTATCCTTCTTTCTGCTAAGATTTTGCAGAAACCGCTCATACAGAGGCAAAATGACTCCCAGTGTTTTCATCTCAATAACCTTTTCCAGACTTGTTTAGCCGCCACACAATCCCCGACAACAGGTAAAGTATCCTCCTCTCTTTCCATACAAATCAAAGAAGCTGGAGAAGTATTCAAAAATTTGTTCCTTCTAGCCGAGGTTAAGAAAACCGCCATTAATGGCAACCGCAGAAATTGCAGTCGAACAGTGTATTCTTCTAGGTCCCTTCCACTCCCAAATCCCTTTCCAAACTACATCCGCCCCTGCTTTATCAAATTCTTTTGAGCAATTATACATGTATATCCGATACTAGGTAGTTACCGTGAGAGTTAACCAGCCACTTGATTGTATCCTCTGTGTCCTCTGGCCTCGGAGGTCACGGCCATGTGTATTTTCATTACTTGTCAACCGTACATAAATTCTCAAACTACGATGCTGCCTGAAATCGCATTTGTGAACCGTATATAATTGTTTTTTCTTTTTTTGGATCAAAGCATTCAAATTCTCTTTTTTTCCCCTCTTTTTCCCCCTTCATATATTATGGTTTTATTTTTCCAACTGTTTATTGCCTTTTGTGCATACTCTGGTTTGTCATCGAGTCTAGACTTGATTACGGTGGTGGACATTATCCAAAGTTCCCCTTTTTTTTGAAAGAAATTTATAACTGGTGAAAAGAAATTCAAAGTGATCCTGGATTCCGCTGTAGCCTAAAATGTTTGTTAGAAACCAAACTTTACTGACCCGCCGCTTTGTAAATTCTCACTGAGATAGATTTATTATGTGCCTCAGGTTTGAATTGCAAAATAAATAAGTATTTCATCTTGTTCCTTATCTGGGTGGGAAAGGAGACGTGTCTCTGGTGCTCTTGTTTGCGCTATTTAGATTGAGGAATGACAGCTATCGTGTACAGTTATTTGTCGTGGGGGGGGGGGGGGAATTCCCCTGCTGTTGTTATTTTCTATCTTTTACCTTGTGAGGAAGGAGATCAGTTCAAATAATAATGTGATGGTTTTCACATTATTAACTATCTATGACTTATTTATTCATGTTGTCTGAGTTGAAAGTTTTACTGTTCTGTTATTAACCAGCAGATCTGCATTTGGAATCACATTCTAGTTGATTATACTCGAAAGTCAAAATCTGAAACTTATAACATGAGGAACTGTCTACAGGTATTGATCCCTTCATCCCCATCATCCTTTAAAAATAGCCTTTCTATTCTGCACCAAGTCCCGGAAGGCCATGTGGGCGTGTATTGGAGAGGAGGTGCTCTTCTGAAAACAATTACGGAACCAGGTTATAGTTTGCTTTTTGATTCTTGTTGTTGCTGTTGTTATTCTTCAGCATCCATTGGCCCAGAGTTTGATTCATGTTCTTGGTGCTGACTCTTCTAGGTTTTCACTTAAAGATGCCTTTCTTAACACAGTATGAGCCTGTTCAAGTGACACTCAAGACAAATATGGTAAGTTGTTAGAGAGCAATTTCTAAAATTGTGGTCTTACTTGGCAAATGCACAGTAAATTGAATTATTATTGTAACACTTGCAGGTGACAGATATATGGTGTGGTACTAAAGGAGGTGTCATGATTAATTTTGAGAAGATAGAAGTAAATATCCATAACATAATTCATGAACTGATCTTATTTTTTGCCTTATTAAATTTAAAATTTAAATGCAATGATTTTTACCGTCACCGTTGTTGTTCAATTAAGGTTGTAAACCGACTTCATAAGGAATATGTCTATGAGACATTGCTCAGTTATGGGATGCATTATGAAAAGACATGGATATATGACAAGATTCATCATGAGATTAATCAGTTCTGCAGTTCTCATAGTTTTCTACAGGTCTACATTGATGTTTTTGATCAGGTAACAGTGTCAAAGTGCCTCTCTCTTTTAGGTAATCTGATGAGGAAAAAGTTAACGCTTCAAAAATGCATCTTCTATTGCTCTAGTGAATTATTATAGTCGCTTTCATTTACGGGTAACCTGAACACTACAATGTTCAAGCAATATGACAAGCTGATTTGATGAACATTTAGGTATTGAGTTCTAGATTACACTGTCATCTCCTCAAAAAGTTGATGAAAGTCTTGGGTCTTATTGCTGTTATAGAGTTTATGACGACTCAATGTGGTCTTTTAGATTAATGCCTATATTAAGTATAATCTGTCTTCTAGATTTTTGTCTTTCTTTATAATGATTACATGCTAACATTTATGATGGCAACACGACTATTTTGGTTCATTCAGATTGGTAACAGGATGAAAGACGCTCTTCAGGTTGATTGCACCCGATATGCTCCAGGCATCGAAGTTATCAGTGTCCGTGTCACAAAACCAACTATTCCAGATAGCATCAGACGCAACTTCGAGCAAACGGAAGAGGAACGCTCTAAGGTAGCGTTTGGGCTCGACTTCTTTCTTTCTAAAATCATCTTTTCTTTTTTGGCCAAATTTCCAAAATTGCTGTTGAGCAAGTTTTTCGTTGTGTCGGATAGGTCTTAGTTGTTACTGAAAGACAGAAGGTAGCTGAGAAGGAGGCAGAGACTTCGAAGAAGATGGCTATTAGTGAGGCTGAGAAAAATGCCAGTGTTAGCGAGATCCTTACGGGGCAGAAGTTGGCGGAAAAAGACGCTTCTGGGCGCCACCAACAAATGGAGAACCTTATGTACCTAGAACGCGAGAAGACCCTGGCAGATGCGTATTTCTACCGGTGAGTTTTGCTATATTCCCTTGAACAAAAGTTGATTCACACAACACAACTAATTCATCCCGCTAGAGCAAAGAAATGATTGATGGCATTGGTTTTTCTTTTCCACTTTCAATTTCAAGGGCAACAAAAGAGGCTGAAGCAAACAGGTTGATGCTTACCCCAAAATTTCTCGTGCTTAAATTCATCGAGGCCACTGCTAATAATACCAAGACAAGCTCTGGGAATAAGATTTCTCGCCTCTGTCCATTCCTCGTCGCCATGTTTCAAGGTCTGGTCTCGTCTAGATTTTTCCGCCGCCTCGGCCGGCGCTAAATAGGATTTTTGATCGGAGGCTACTCCAAAATGTCCGGGAAAACGTGTTTATAAAGACATTTGGGAAAGAGAGTTGTATTATTTATGAGGCATTCTTGCTAGGCTTGATAAGACCCAACAGGATGACATGTATTATAATGTTGTACGATGTAATGTTTGGTTTGTTGTTATAAGTGCATGTTTGAATCTGCTTGCATGATTAAATTGAAAGAAGTGCTCTTATTCTGTAAATCGACTAAAAAGCTACTTAATTAATTCCAAGTAACCACGACAATGAAGATCATGTGAATGATGCAAAATATTAATGAACCGGAAACAGGAAGTCGCTGCAGCCTTTAACAAAGCCCGTTAAAAAAAAGGGCAAAAAAAAGAAGAAGATCGAGAGTAAAGGAGAGCGGAGCTTAGGCACCGAGGAGGGTGAGGAAAGGAGAAGGGATGACAGAGGAAACACACCTGATTGGAACGACGGCAGCAAGCAAGAGAAAAGGCGACAGACTGACTGACGGAGCGCAGCCGAAAGAGAGGTCTGAAACCTAAGTAACTGTGAAACTCCTGGTGTGGGCAAAATTCAGTGGTTACCATAAATACTCAGGCAAAAAAAAAAAAACATACCATAAATACGTGAGCAAATAAATTGGGATGTCTCAGCTCAAAAAAAAAAAAAAATTGGGATGTCCAAGGAAGGGATGTTTCGAAGATGATCCTGAATTCGTCCCTGGCCCAATTATATTCGTATATAGTACTGTCTTTTGAGCCCGACTCGTCATTAAGCCTAATATTAACAATAAAAAATGACATTAAAAAAATTATGTTTATATCAACGGTCAGGCATGATATGACAATTTTAGAAAAACTCATCCATTGGGATGTGAACATAACTTTTCATGGGATAACACATAATTTTGATTTATGAAAAAATTTCATAAATAATCTACCCGTGTTGATGGAATAACTATTTATTTAGGAAGTGTTTGGATGGAATCAAAATCATAATTTTAAAAACACTTTTACGATGTACGAAATAAATATTTGAAAGATTTTGTCTCGTTTTGCGAAAAAGTGATTCTGAGAAGCGTTTTTGGCTGCTTCTAAACAACCCCTCAAGTTGGATAAATTAAAAAAATTAATTATTTTTTTTTCCACAATACATGTCACCTAATCTCCATACAATAATCTTATACAACATTAGGCTATATGTTACTCCCTCCGGTCGTATTTACATGCTTTAAATTGGAAGAGAAGTATGATCCATTTTATAAACTTCAATTTTGTATTTGTCTTAACATTTAACGCACTTTTTTTTAATTTTATCTTTAATTATTTATTCTTTCCTTTTGTCATAATCTCTCTTATCACATTTTCCTACATATTTTCTTTCATCTTTTTTTCTCATTCACTACAAGGACATATTTGAGAACAAAAGCATATTTCTAACATATTTGTTGTTTTTAACTACTTGTTACTCATTTGCCAATTAGTTATTTGAAGTTTATAATAGGAAAGTGAAGGAGTCATTTATGAGTTAGACACATTAATTTTAAAAAGTAAAATAAAAGAAAACAATTTAATATTGTAATCAAAACTCATCCTTAACTTGTGCCTAACTAACCATATATGGTAGAGAGGAGAATTATTTTATATTGTATCAGTCCTTAATACTATTTTTCGTCTTTAATAATAAAACTAAATAATTAATTTGAATAGATTAAGATAATTAATTAAATTAATTATTTATAATAAATATGTATTATCTTTTTAAAAATACCTTTACTAATTAAGTGTTATTGATATATGTAACTAGTACAAGAATTGTTTAAAAAATTAAATAAATATAAAAAATAAAACAAACTGAGTATTATATTTAGTACTAAATTAAAAATCAAATTAATTTTAGTATACCCTCCATAGTAAGTAGTTTTAATATTAAGAAGGTACTATAAGAGGGTGTCGCGAGAATCCCCTCCATATAAAATCGCAGGTTCGTTGCTCCAAAAAGCCTCCACTCTTGCAGGGTCGGGGATGCACGGTGTGTTTTTTTGACTTTTTCTTTCAGTGTGATTTTTGTCATAATTTTATTAAACAAAATGGTAATTTTATTTGCCATGATTTCATTTACTTTTCTTCTAGTTGGGATAGGCACATTTCAATAGATTGTTTTTCCCCTCAATTTTTTCTTTTTGGATTCATTTTCTCGGACGGGCAGCGAGTCTCTCTCTTACCATTCTTTACTCATCTTTCCCTAATCTGCAAATTATTCTTTGCCGCAAAGAAAGTAAAAGCCGTGTTCTGTGACTGGGCAAAGTGGCGCAGAGAATCGCCATGGATCCAAATCAACAGAGGGCTGGAGCTAATCAGCCGCGTCCGCCGACGCAAAGCTCCGATTCGTCCTCCATTCTAACTGTTTTTCTCCTATTCATCGCCATCGCTGCCATGGTAACCCTCTCGCTTAATGGTGCATTTCCTGAACTGCAATATATGTGCACTAGGTTTTGTTCTTCGATTGTGTTCGTAGTCTCTGCTGGAATGCGCATTTTCATTACTTGAGTTTCCGCTGCATTGATTGCTCTAAGTCGGCTGAAGAATGGTACTGCTCGAAATCGCATTTGTGGAACCGTATATAAATTCCTTTATTGACTTCGCTGAATTTGTTTTGGTAATGTGGTTTTATGGTCTCCTCTCTCTTCTTTCCCCTTGATATATAATATTTTAAGCTGATTATGCAGTTCCTTTTTTTCTTCAATTCATATCTATGGATTTGACTTTTGAACCGGTGGCTATAACGGAAAATGATATTTTGTGTTTTACGTTATGTTTTGTGGAAAAGAAATTCAAGGCGATTGCGGATTCCGTTGTAACCTGGAATGTTTTTTAGCACCTAAAACTTTAACTGACCCGCAGTTTTGTAACTTCTCAATGGGATGTATTTCATGTATGCCCCAGGTTTGAATCGCACAGCAAATAAATATTCCATCTTGTTCCTTCTGTGGGTGGGGAAGGGGATCATGATTGCACTATTTAGATTGAGTACTGACAATTATCATATGTAGTAATCAGTTGTGACCGTTTTTTTGGGGGTGGGGGGGGGGGGACAGCACGCTGCTGCTGTTTTTTTCCCTCCTTACTTTGTTGTCAGGAAAGAGGTCAGTTCAAATAATAATATGATGGTTTTCACATTTTTATCTATGGCTTATTTATTGATGTTGTCCGGGGCGAAAGTTTCGCTGTTCTTTTATTAACAGCAAATCTGCATTGGGAATTACATTCAAGTTTATTATACTCAAAATTCAAAATCTGAAACTTAAGGCATGATGAAATGTCTACAGATATTGATCCCTTCATCACCATCATCCTTTAAAAATAGCTTCTCTATTCTGCACCAAGTCCGGGAAGGCCATGTGGGCGTATATTGGAGAGGAGGTGCTCTTCTGAAAACAATTACAGAACCAGGTTATAGTTTGCTTCTTGATTTTTGTTGTTGCTGTTGCTGTTGTTGCCATTATTGTTTTTCTTCAGCATCTGCTGGCCCAGTGTTTGCTTCATGTTGTTGGCGCTAAATTTTCTAGGTTTTCATTTAAAGATGCCTTTCATAACCCAGTATGAGCCTGTTCAAGTGACACTTCAGACAGATATGGTACTTTGTTTAGGTCGGTTTCTAAATTTGTGGTTTCACTTGGCAAATGGCACAGTAAGTTGAATTATTGCGACAATTGCAGGTGACAGATATACCATGTGGTACTAAAGGGGGCGTCATGATCAATTTTGAGAAGATAGAAGTAAATATCAAATAGAAATTTCTTTAATAACATAATCCATAGCTGATCTAATTTTTTGCTTTATTAAATTTAATTGCAATGATTTTTACTGTCACCATTATTGTTCATTTAAGGTTGTAAACCGACTTCATAAGGAATATGTCTACGAGACATTGCTGAATTATGGGGTGCATTATGACAAGACATGGATATATGACAAGATTCATCATGAGATTAATCAGTTCTGCAGTTCTCACAGTCTTCAACAGGTCTATATTGATGTTTTTGATAAGGTAAAAGTGTGATCAGGAAAAAGTTAACGTTACAAAAATGTATAATTTATTGCTACAGTTAATATACAAGTCACGTTCATTTATGGGTGATAAAGTGGGGAATAACCTGAACGCCATAATTTTCTAGCAATATGACATGCTTTTATGAACTTTGAGGCATTGAGCTCTAGATGCTACTGTCATTCCCTCAAGGAGTTGGTGATAGTCTTTAGTTTTATTGCTGTTGTAGAATTTATGATGGCCTGTTGCGGTATTTTAGATCAGTGACTCTATTACCTATCATTTGTCTTCCGGTTTTTTTTGTCTCTCTAATGATGATGACATACTGACATTTATTATGGCAACGCGACCATTTTGGCTCATTCAGATTGATGAAAAGATGAAAGATGCTCTCCAAGTTGATTGCAACCGTTATGCTCCGGGCATCGAAGTTATCAGTGTCCGTGTCACAAAACCAAGTATTCCAGATAGCATCAGACGCAACTTTGAGCAAATGGAAGAGGACCGCACTAAGGTAGCTTTTTGGCTCGATTTCTTTCTAGAAACATCTTTATTTTTGGGCCAAATTTCTAAAATTGCTGTTGAGCACCCATGTTTTTGGTTGTGTTGGATAGGTCTTGATTGCTATTGAAAGACAGAAAGTATCTGAGAAGGAGGCAGAGACTTCGAAGAAGATGGCTATTAGTGAGGCTGAGAAAAATGCCAATGTTAGCAAGATCCTTATGGGGCAGAAGTTGGCGGAAAAGGAAGGTTCTAGGCGCCAGCAAGAAATTGAGAACCTAATGTACCTAGAACGTGAGAAGAGCCTGGCAGATGCGGACTTCTACTGGTGAGTTTTGTTATTCACTGATACGACTCACTAATTTATCCTCCTAGAAGAAAGAAATGATTAATGGCATTGGCCTTCATTTTCCAATTCCAATTTGAAGGGCAACAAAAGAGGCCGAAGCAAACAGGTTGAAGCTTACCCCTGAATTTCTTGAGCTTAAATTCATCGAAGCCATTGCTGATAATGCAATGATATTCTTTGGGGATAAGGTATTTCTCTCCTCCCCTTGCCTCTTCGGGCTATTTCAACATCTGTTCTTGTGCATATGCTTGACCTTGTAGAGCTTTTCTCGCCAGGTGCCAAGTATGATTTTTGATCTGAGGCTACTTG